TACCATTTAAGAGATGTTCCATCTCGCTCTCTCGATGTGTGCGTTATCCTCCATAATCATATATCATTACCAATATTATCTTTTTCTCCAATTAAGATGTGTCTGTGAAAGCATTAGCCGCTAATGCCGCAGGCGCGTGAGTTGGCCGTTAGAGTATATTACGGGTGGCTGATCTGCCACCAGAACACTGGTCTTGGCCGTCGGGTTTTGAAGGGAACTTTAGGCCTTGTATTGTCAGCGTCCTTTCGCGATTTCCGGTGCTCTCCCTCTGGAGCGTGGTGTGTGGTTACTGCGCAGGCCTATGTCTGTCGGATCAAACCGCTTGTTTAGATGCTTGCTTCGCTCTGATTGTCTCCGGTGGGGGGCCTTCTTTCGTACAGCAGGCTGACATCCGCGATTCGCTAGTATAACGAGCTCGTCGTAGTACCACCAGACCACGATGTGGGGAAGTGGATTGGTGCCGTACCTTCGTTCCTAGCCAAATGCTGCCTGGGCCGTATGGTCTTCAATAGAATATACCCTAAGAGACAATTGGCACAGTTCGCATGTCTTCTCGGAATAACACATATGAGACTATTTTTCCAGTTTTTGCTCTCGGCCATAGTCATTGGAGTGTTCTGTGAACTTTTAGCTCGTCGCGCAGGTAAGTCATGTATGTTTGCAAATGTACTTATTATTTGGAGTTAGAGTTTCGGATGGGGGTTGGATCTTATGACATAGTACTTGGGTTATTTTCTGTGTATATATATGTTGATATGTATAGGACACGTAGTCGGGAAGGGAGGTCAAGCTTGAATTGGGGGCCCGCGAAATTCGAACGACCAGAAGATTGTTGTAGCGCGAGAGGAGGAGGGATGGGATTGGTCGCGCTCATAGGCGTATCCGTGCGACTCATCAGTGGAGAAGCTACCCTGAGCCTTCGCTATCTTATTATTACATCGAGAGTGGCGTCGAGAGAGGAGGAGAGAATAGTGTGCCGACCGTTTGAGTTTGGCTGATTAGGAGTGGGAGGATACTTCACGAATGACAGTACTGTTACTGAGACGTTTGACCCCAAGAAGCGATGAGGACCTTAAGGGTGAGTTTAGAGTATGGTCTGTCGACTTTAGATACTTCGCGAATCATTTGGTTTCAGAATTTTAACGATCGCGATGGTCGGATTGTACGAGGCCAGACAAATCCTGAAAGTGGTATTATCGCCTGATTCTTAGCACTTTTGGTTTTCTACCTATAACCTTGACTCCCCGATTCACCTCTCTGGGTCGGGGTCATGATTCGAGATTCGTGGACCGCTTGACATTTGACTTCCGCTCTCTCCTCCGAATAACATTGCCTCAAATCGTTCAAATAAGGTCAGCGATTCGGTTACTCAACCCCGGAAACCGATAAAATGAGGTGCTGTTTTGTATTATATGACAAAAACACTAAAATAATGTCATATGTTTTTTGGCTCTCATGAATGCCCTTGCGTGGCACATACTAGGCCGAGCTCGCGAGCGCGTTGCAGGAGCTGCACATTCGACACCTCCACATCACCTGAAACGTACACGATACAGAACTCCAGCATTCCCAAAAGACCTTGGACGGCCCTAACAGTGCGTCATATACTCTTATGATTAAAGCTCTTTTGGCATGTCTATAAACCTTAGTGCTGACCGCGCGCTATCTCACCCGCGACACGGACTGGCCAGGCGACTAGTTTTGCGAAATAGGCCCAATCCACACATCAATGCACTGGCGGCCCGAGGAGGGGCGACCCCGCTCCGCGCACAGCGCACACGCAGCCAGCGACACAGTACCGCGACATAACGGCTAATCACTGCCAGCGATCGCACAGCGCACACGGCACCGCCACAACACACCACACACTCCGACAATCCGAACACAGCGAGACACCATACCCTAGGGACACACACACACACACACGTTGACCAGTTTGCGGGCTGCGGTCTCTCGAGCGGACATGTTGGCGCCACAACACGCGGGCCCATGCTTTTTTAAGCGCACAACTAACAAACCACCACACCTGACCTACGACCATCTCCAACCGCACAGTACGCTGTAATTCTTCTGGCGGCTGGCCATTCACACGCGTGCGGATACCTGAGGCGTTGCGCGACATCTCTTCTAGAACTGCGGTGCCCAGAAGGCTGTGACCTGTTCCAGCTATACTGCAGGCTCGATCGGTTTGGTATACACGAGCTTGCGCTAACAGGCTTGAGCAGGCGCGTGGAATATTTTCACTCCATCTCGCACACTTAACTCTCTCGTAACGCCGATTAAAACCTCTCTTCCGCGGGATACTCCCGCGTAAAAATATCTTCCTGCGAGACTCGGATTCCACGGATTCATAGTTACAACGTCTTTCTTATCTATGTCGATAACTGTTCCATGCGGTATACTATTAGCGCGCGCGGCTATTGCACCTGCCATCACTAGGAAAAATATTTGAGCAAGAATCGGGGTTCCAGCTATTTATCGCTTGGAGACCTGGCGACAATAGTTCCGCCAGGTGTCCCGTATCCGCGAACATTTTCCGGATATCGGATTTTCCATGAGGGTATATCCTCTCTGCTGAATGCATAAGGCGTTTCGCGGCGTCAATTTTCGTTCTGGGGGCATGAAAACTGATATTTGCAGGCCAGCGATGTAGTTGCGCAGGCAGTTTTTGGATGGCTTGCCGGGCTTCTCCCGCGACCGTGACCTCTGACATCACTCACACTCTCTGAATGTGATTTCTGGCAGTGGCCGATTCACGGATACATGGGGACTATGGTGAATTTTCCAATGCGGTTGCCAGAAGGTTTCCTATCAGTAATCTAGCTCATTTTGGGGTATCTGGTTTTTTAGCTCCTGGGGGCGGCATGCGCCCCCACCACGTTAAAAATTCTGGCAGTGTCCATTCCTGTGGATTACCCTAGTGTGGAGATCCTAGGGGATTAGCATGCCCTCGAACTATAATGTTGCCCATTATGAGGTTGTTATTGAGAGAGTGTTATCCTCTCCAGCTAATTCTCATAGGTACCTCTATTGTATTTCATATGGCGGGTGTTTAGGGGGTGGGGGCAGTTGGGGGCGTCTGGCGGATACACCCACCACTGAATTATTCTGGCAGTGGCCATTCACGATACCTGGGACTATGCTGAACATTTTCCAATGGGTGCCAGAAGGTTTCCTTTCCAGCTAATCTAGCTCAATTTTGGGGTATCGGTTTTTTAGCTCTGGCGCATGCGCCCCACCACTAAAAAATTCTGGCAGTGTCCATTCCTGATACCTGGGACCATGCCGAACATTTTCCAATAGGGTTCATGGGGTTTCCTCTCCAGCTAATCTAGCTCAATTTTGGGGTGCCTTTCAAATGACCCCACTGACCACACCCACCAGCGGCTGCCCGCCAGACTTACATTTCCTTACATGGGTATGTACACGAATCATTGCTATATGCATGAAAATTGGTTTCCTTTCCAGCTAGGCTGACCCCCCTGGGCTCCCGGTCTCACGAATTTTCTATGGTAAAATTTGTAAAAATTTTGTTGCCATATTTTTACATTAAAAGTAAGAACTAACGGGACTAAACGTATCGTCAAATTCTTACCTGATAAGATTGTTTCTCAACTAGTTAAAAATCCAAAAAACCTGGACGATTTGATATTCCAGACTTTATGTTCTTGACATTATGAAAGGAACGGACCGAGTTGGTAGGTGAACCGAGTTGACACGTGCGGTGAGCTCGGTTCGTGAGATGAGTTGACGCGTCTGGAGATCGCTCAGGTCGGTTCGCCGGCTAACTCGTGAGATGTTTCACACGCCCCAACTCTAATATCTCGCGAACGATTTGAGTTACATTTCTAAAATTCTAGATACATATAAACACATGTCTTAGCTATGGTTTCTGTGAATTTTAGGATTATTGAATCACGAATAGTTTAATTAATTACCAGAAATATACGTACGCGCGGTATTGTCATAGGCTAATACACGCGCGGTATCGTCATATAGGCTAATATCTCGCGAACGATTTGAGTTACATTTCTAAAATTCTAGATACATATAAACACATGTCTTAGTTAGGGTTTCTGTAAATTTTATATGCGTTACACACACACACACACACACACACACACACACACACACACACACACACACACACACACACACGCCTATATATATATATATACGTATAGCTAGCTATATATATAATCAATAGCTCTTATTAGTATTTATTAGCTCTTGATATAATAACTATTCTACGTTTAAGAATTAACATGTATAAGAATTATTACACATTTCGTATNAGTATATATAGTGTATATAGTGTATATAGTGTATATATAGTGTATATAGTGTATATAGTGTATATAGTGTATATAGTGTATATATAGTGTATATAGTGTATATAGTGTGTATAGTATATATATAGTGTATATAGTGTATATAGTGTATATAGTGTATATAGTGTATATAGTGTATATAGTGTATATAGTATATAGTATATGTGTATATATATGTGTATATATATATGTGTATATATGTGTATATAGTATATCGTAGTATAGTATATGTAGTATATATAGTATATAGTATATATAGTATCTAAGTAGTATATATAGGAGAAAAACGGGTTTGCAGCGCACATTGATGCGTTATTCTTCCGCTACGCGGCGTACTCGTCGTTTCACGAATCACAACCAGTGACCAGTCGCAAGAGGGTATTTTGACCAGTACAGTTCACGCAGCATGGGCCGGCTTTCAGTGTAAACCTGCTTTCAGTGAGTTGAAGTGTTTGTTCAGTTATTGCTCCGTGTAGTCGCATAACCGGTAGGTAGTAGTGTGACCTGGTTCGTTAGTCCCCGTAACTAATTAGTGCATCGTTGTGACCAGATGACTAGTCGTAGTACTAGTAGTAGTAGTAGTACTGGTAGTAGTACTACTTCTAGTAGCCGTAGTACTAGTAGCCGTAGTACTAGTACGTACGCGTAGTGCTCGTACTCATAGGGTCTATGTCCCAGGGGCGGCGGATTCAGACCGTATTTGCCGTATTGGGAAATACGGTCTAGATTTCAAAGTGCCCTTCGAAATTTTGTGCTAAAAAATACAGAAAACAATTTGATGGAATTTGGCTATATAGTATATTCTTTATTTGTTTTCTTTTTCTTCTGATTCATTGACAGGACTTTGGCTATATTCTTTATTTGTTTTCTTTTTCTTCTGATTCATTGACAGGACAGAAATCAAAATTTTACATGGTAACAAAACTAGCATTGATATCTGAAAAAGAAGGGAAGTGCTTGAATCATTCTGCATTAATTGCTGGTACCTATGCAAAGCGCAGGCAAAATGAAGCAGAAATAAAATTCCATATAGTTTTGACTAAATGTGTGCTCATTTTTGTGCCCAGGGACCCTTGAAATTTTTAAATTTTCTAGGGGAGGTCGATCAGACCCCCCGCCATGTGCTTCCGCACCTGATGGCGCACACGGTGGGGTGGTGTGCCCTTTTTGGGGGATGTGCCCTTAAAATCTTGAAAATTACTGTCTAGCTTCAGCCTTGGATCCGCCCCTGTGTCCCCCAGGGCCAGGGTACTGCCGGAACGTACCCTGGGTACGGTCCGGTATTATACCGGAACGTACCCTGATAGTGGTAACTATTTGATATGGTTAGGGTTAGGTTTAGGGAGTAGGGAGTAGGCGTAGGCGACTCCCTAGACTCGTTAGTAGATTAGCGAGGTACGGTTCGGCATATTAGATAGTACCAGGGTACGTTCCGGTATACCGGACCGTACCCATCCAGGGTACGTTCTGGCAGTACCCTGGGTGATCGACATAGACCCTAGCTCTCAGCAGTAGGCGTAGTATATATAATGCCAATGTTATTGTTCTGTAGCTCTAGTCTAGAACTATAGAAGTAGCTCTAAGAAACGGTCTTGCTAGGTTTAGAAGACCTGTAGCTATAGACGATCAGTCGCACAGCCTCGTCGGTTCATGGATAGAGAGCATGGCGAGATTGAGACCTATGTCATTTTCATAAATGTGGGGGTAGCTCTTTTAAAATCGAGAGGGGTGTTGTTGAGGGTGTTGTCTAATAATTTCTAGCAAGAAATCTGTCATTTGTTGTCAGAAAGGTGTCCGATTGCTCCAACCTGTGATTGTAGCATAAAAATAGAATTTGTGACGTTTCGTTTCACCGGTCATAGCCATGCACGCGTGTATATTTTCTAATTAATTAGACTAATCGTGCTTCAATAGACTAAAAATTCACAGAGATTAAGGCCACGACATGTGTCTATATAATAGCTAGAATATATAGAAATGTAACTCAAATCGTTCGCTCAATATGATAGTTAGTACACATTCCCAACGGTCATAGCATAATAGCGTATGTGGCGGGAGTGGGCGGGGTCTATTTTTATCCTCCTAACACAGTTCGGAGCAATTCCTCTGTTTAGACGCATGTGAAGCTACTGTAGCTCTCTAGTATGTAGCTCTTGTGTTGTTCGCCACGGCCGTTGTTGCTGTGATGTCGTATAGCTACGTTCAATTGCGTGGGTTGGGGCTCTTATATTATTATGTTGGGTGCTCACATCGGCTTAAAGATACTGCGTAAACAGTATTCGTAATGCCATAATCCTCCTCCTCTTCAATGCTCACACTCGATCTCTACTCGCTGTCGCAGAATGGCTGGGTTGGTAAGCCCTCGCTACACTACACATTGCAATAAATAGCGCATCCAGTGCTATAGAAACGATAGCTACGTACCAACGTTATCATTATCATGAATCCTACGGTACGGAGTCCTTACCCTGAACTCAAATCAAACCATATCGCTAACCCGATTGTAATGCTACCAATCATTACAAATATAGGGATTCTAATGCATACATAACCTGCCTTTACTGCTCTAAATAGAGCAAGGGAGTGTCTAGAGTTATATTTATGTAGAACAAGAGATGGAGAGAGACAAGAGGATGGGAGAGGTTGAGGGAATGTGTGATGGAGGAGAGTGAAGAGAATCAATGAGAGATAAGGGGCGAGAGAGAGAGAGAGAGAGAGAGAGAGAGAGAGAGAGAGAGAGAGAGAGAGAGGAGACCAAGAGTGCGTGAGAGGGGGTCTGGAGGGAGAGTAAGGAGAAGAGGGTGATGGCAATAGGCAGAGGGAGAGAGAAGGGGAATGCACATGCACGAGCAAGAGAGCGATTGAGCAACTATAATTAGCGTGAGCATGTGTAAGCTATTAAAGGCTGATCAAGGCATCTTTGTCATATTATCATCCGCGTCGATAACCTTGACATTGTGCATGTGCGTTCCTACTGTAACAGAGTCCAAATAAATCACGATCTAGATCCAGCTGAATCTAGATCGCTATCTATAGTTACTAAGTGCACTCAGCAGATAGTAATCTAGCACCCATTTTATTTACAAATTAAGTAAATAAAATGGGTGCTAGATTACTATCTGCTGAGTGCACTTAGTAACTAATACTATAGATACTATCAGGAGTGGATTGATACGCTCCTGATACTATAGATAGCGATCTAGATTCAGCTGGATCTAGATCGTGATTTATTTGGACTCTGTTACAGTAGAACGCACATTCACAGTGTCAGATTAAATTACTCTATTTACGATTTATGGTTTCTGATAATATCTATATCTTATACGTTATATGGAAGATAAATGGGCTCTATTCCACCAATGATAAACTGTTTATTAGATGTCAGATGTGCAGGTTAGAATTGGCCAGGCTAAGAGGTAGGGAGGACACTGTTTAAAAAAAATCCACGTGTGCTGTGGTGCAGCTTGTTGCATTCGAGGCAATTCGTTGTTAAAGTCAGTTTGTCCGTAAGTTTAGTCGTGTGGTTTTGTGCATTAATTTGCAATTTTTATGGTTGTTTTAAATATTTTATGTGATTTTAAATTTCCAAACCAATTATCTCGTAGCTTTATTTTTTACAAGTCTTAGCAACGTTCTTGGCTGAGCGAGAGGCAGCTTTAATGACCTGCCCTTGGTCTTAATTTTTAGCTCACCTTAACATCGTCAAGATGAGCTATTGCCATGGGGTGTCGTCCGTCATACGTCCGTCCGTCCGTGCGTCTGTCCGTCCGTCAACATTTGGCTACGGTCAACGATAACTCAGGAACCGTTTGACCCACGTTTCAAATTGCATATATAGTTGTTACTCCTATGGGAGAGGTTTGAACGTCCTATTTTGGAGCACACCAGTCAACCTACTTTCGAGCCAAGTCCACTTTTTTGCAAAAATGGAAATGGCCATAAGTCAGTTCAGGTTCAACGGATTTTGCTCATTTCTGGTATGTGAATGAATAAGGACTGGCCCCAAAACATATCACACAGGTTTTATTTATTTTTTTAATTATGCAAATTAGGTAGATTTTGGCTATTCCCCAATGCATTTCAGTGTCTGCCTACGGTCAAGGATAACTCAAGAACCGTTTGACCCACATGTTTCAAATTGCATACAGTTGTTACTCCTATGGGAGAGGTTTGAACGTCCTATTTTGGAGCATGCCAGTTGACCTACTTTGGAGCGACGTCCACTTTTTGGCAAAAATGGAAATGGCCATAAATCAGGTTCAATGGATTTTGCTCAATTCCGGTATCTGAATGAATAAGGACTGGCCCCAAAACATATCACATGGGTTTTTTTTTTAATTATGCAAATTAGGTAGATTTTGGCAATTTCGCTATGCATTTCAGTGTTTGCCTACGGTCAACGCCATCAGATTGTATGCCAACAGATCTGAAACATTTATTTTCGCATAAAAAATTACTCATATATCATCATTATTAAGAGTATATAATGGGAGATATGCTATATAATGGGAGTTCTCCCATATATACTCCTGCTTTATATATCCCCCCTTCCCTCTTCTATCACACCCAAGGTGAGCTATCTACAGTGTCATTGATACTTTCATTATTTTTAGCACAGTCTGTTTCTATAACCAATGTTACTCAGGTTAACTAGAATAAGCCTGAGTGAAAATTCAGTTGTTATTCATGAAAACTGGTTTATGACTTATCAAAGTGATAGGCCGGCCCTATCATGACAATTTATATTCAGTAATGTATTGGTGTTTCTAGTTCTTGGGAAGTTGCCGATCAAATTGTTCTATCGTGTTCTTTTAGTCAGATCAAACCTGGGGACATGGCACGGTGTCATTGTCCTGGGTGAAAATAGTATTCACTTGGGTCTGATAATGCTAAATACACGCTCCTGTTCCGAACTCCTTGCATCATGCTCTAAAGGTCATAGTAATGTGCTCTCTCACATGTTAACAGCAAATTTTGCATTGGTATTTGCTAGTGATGTCACGATCATCGATTATACTCGATCATCGTTTGAACAGTGGCTTGAACCAAGCGCTTGGTTATCAAAATCCATAATCAATTTCATAAAAAAAGTGATGAGAATCAGAGATATCATCGCTACTATACAAGTTATCCTTTATTAACATACATGTATTATACACACAGTAGTAAACAGTGCAAAACAAACAGTAAACAGGGCTAAACAAGCACATACATGCACACACGTACATGCACACGACGTTACGCACACGCAGGCATTCAACACCCCGAGTAACCGATTGTAACCGATCATTGGTTACTTGGGTCCAACCGATGATCGATTACGAAATTACAACCGATTGAGAACACTAGTATTTGCTTTACACCAACACGCGTGTGGCCACACAATGTAAATATCTAGCATGACAGTCCACACATGTGATATCATTCATTGTGTATAGTCTAAAAGGCTTTATTGTTATTATGATAAAAATCGTAAAATATCTAGGCTTATAATAATGTAGATACCTTCATCTGTGCAATGTTTCAAACCTATAATCTTTATGAGTGTAATGTTGTAGTTGCTGAGGTGATCTGTACAGGAAATCGAACCGAATTTAAATGGAGTAAAATGCATAACCCCTGGCAACATTCTAACTTTTAGCTTTGCTGCTATTGCTTCCAGAGAAAACTGATCCATCCCACACTACAATGGACATTGTGCTGAGAGCAACTGATGACTATTTCTTCACACCTTACGTGTACCCGCAGTCATGGCAGAGAGACGACATCTGGAGGCAGATCATAAGCCTGTCTTTGATTGTGAACATTGGCGGATATCTGTTATACATCATTCCCACCACGCTCGACTACCTCTTCATCTTTGACAAGTCTTTAATGAAGCATCCTCAGTTCATGAAGGTGATGTCAAAAATTTATCCCGCATGTGGCTCTACGGGTTTAACAAAGTAGTGAATAAACAGTTTTTAAAATGAAATATAATTGCAGTGATCAATTATGTAATGAATATATATTAAATTCTTTAAATGGTTATAATATATTATGTAGAGTACAGTGTTATGTTTGAATATATCTATTCTGCGTGCTTGCATAGTTTACCTGTTCTCATTTTATTTAATCAGGACCAGGTGAAATTGGAGATTTTCTACGCGTCAAAATCGATTCCACTGATGGGAGCATTAACGACGATCGTGTTTTTGTTTGAAGTTCGAGGATACAGCAAACTGTACGATAACTGGAACGACACTCCTTACGGTTCGTATACATAGTAGTTGCCCCCTCAAACCAGGAAACTGTCACGAGTGCTTGATTGTGTGCCGTATAAAATTTAATGATTGGCGATCAATGTTCGAGTGTGTGCAAGGAAGTTTTGCAGGCATTCAGTGGCCTTTGCATTATATATATGGCGTAGTTTGTAATGATTGATCTGAAACTTAACATCAACGTACCGGTATAGCAAGAGTTTTACTTTAAGGTGTCTTTCATTATAACAGTATGTAGCAGTATAGACTACAGTACAAGTGGAATTTTTGTTATTCACAATCCATTATTAGTTCACAGGCTCACACTAATATAGAAAACGGTGTTATTCTGATGGGTATGAATTCATGACGGATTATTATAGATAATTAATGGCATAATGATATATGGCATTGCGAAGGCAAAAGGAAGGCAATTTACTTTTAGCACATTAATGTCAGTAACATAGAATATAGCATTGTGCCCAACTGGTACATAACATAATTGCTTGGAATATCTTTGGTAATTCCTCTGAGAAGAATTTTTGTATTGAAATTATTCAAATTTGATAAAGATAAGACCATCGCTCTAGTAATGTTTTATGGTCCCACTTAAAATTTCTGTTTTTACTGATGATGTCAGTTTGAACGCTCAGTTCCTTTTGCTACAGTATTGATGTAGGCCTAGTATTCTGCTACAATGACCGACAGTATCATTGATCATTATGTGATCAATGTCATTTCAGGGGTGTTCGGAATGGGATTGAGCATTTTATCATTCATGTTCTTCAATGATATGATGATCTACTGGATACACAGATTCTTACATTATAGGTAGGCTGTTATCTCTTTGTCTGATGGCTAGAAATAGAATGCATTATAAAGATGTGCACACTTGGCAGTAATTAATCAATGAAAGGTGTAGAATAGCATTATTTCGAAGACTTGAGGGTAGACTGGGTTCTGGTTGCCATGATCTCTCACAAGTTTGCCAGGTTACACTGTTAGTGCAGCAGATCTTATATATATGAAAATACTGTATGATAATAGTGTGTAGCGGAAGATGGGCTTATAACTTCAGCTCCTGCTGTTCCTGGCATATGTTATAGCATTTAAGCTGTTGTTGACAGAAGTCTATCAGCATGCAGCCAGTTCCAGCTTGCATCAGATCTTATTAGGATTATGCAATGTACTGTACAGACAATTTAAGGTGTCATTGGATAATCTATTGCCCGTAGTAAATTGTAATTCCCATTAATAAATAATTAGTAGTAACATTAGTGTTTTCAAATGTGTAAATAAGTAATACTGACTTGTTAATGCTAATAACTCTAACAATAAAAAAATTCGATATATGTTTACAATGAACCAAGAGCCCATTAACCATTAAATTAATTAAATTAGGGTTAATGGGCTCTTGAATGAACCCTATGTTACCAACTGTTCTGTGCAATCTGGGTAATGTCTTTGGCATATTTATATCATCAAGAGCATATGAAGTGTGGATCTAAGAAAACGTTCTTTAAATTTATTTTTATTTTTTAGATATATGTTTAAGGTCCTTTAAGTTAGAGTTTGTCACAACAGTACATACGCATGAAATTAGCAACTGTTGCAATAGTTCTGCCTCTGTATAAACTATTGTGGTATTTTCCTAAATCTGCACCAAGCCATAGAACAGGTATATGGTAGATGTTAGTTTTCTTGTTATGTGGATTATTGGTTGCACGCACTGAAAAATTCGTGTTTAAATTAAATTAAATGCTTATTGTTTTTTCGCGTGATTGCTTGTCTTCAGTCATCAGTGGTAATCGAATGTTCTTTGCACTTTTGTTTCACATGGTACTTTGCTAATTTCTGGTCGTGTGTGTACAGGTGGTTCTATAAGTACATCCATAAGGACCACCACAAGTGGAAGATTCCATCACCATTTGCGAGCCACGCGTTCCATCCCATTGATGGGTTCCTGCAGAGCACACCATACCACATCTACCCGTTCCTCTTTCCACTGCATAAGGTAGCACTTCAGTAGCGAGCTAGTTAAGTTTTAAGTTATTGAAACATTAAGTTTTAGTTACAAAAAAACATGTGCACAAGTCACATAGCTTTTGTTGTTAGCTATGTTAGGTATATGGCATTCAGTCATAGCCACACAAAAAAACATTGACTGAATGTATCAATTTCTTGTGAGTAAACTTATATCCACCCCTGATTAAAAAAGTTATGTGCTTCTGTAACAGTGACAATTCTAAGTGATATTGTGCAAGAACAACAAAGGAAATATGGAAAAAAATTGAGAGCACCTATGATATGAAGTTGGCTATAGGAGTAGTATATATGACTATTGGAAAATTTGCCCAGGTGATTGATCGCAGGGGCAGATACATGTATTACGAGGACTTGCTCGATAAACGTTCCAAAAAACAACGACTGGGAATTGGCTGAAAATAGAGGCATATGTTCTCGAAAGTCGCCACATCAGCCTTATTCACAAACAATATTACTGATTACTTGCGGCTCCTTCCGGTTTTGTGCTATCTGGAAGGTGTGAGATGGTGCCTTCCACTCTTTGTTTGGGCGTTAAATAAGAGCTATCAATGAAAGTGGTGACTTAGAGCAACCTTGCAAAGCCAGCTTATGTTGGAGTGTATAAATAGGAGTGCATGCTTCTTTGTGGCAGAGTTTCTGCTAACATTGCTAGGAGATTCTGTAAATGCTTGATACGGTTGTTGTTTTAAATTTAATTTCGTGTTGCAGATCGTCTTACTTTAGATAAAATTGTATTGTCTTCTTTACAGTCGCAAGGGAAATCTTTCCTTCTCTGTCACTTCTCATCCTGGCCTTCTCCTCCTCTTACAGTTCCTTTCACAGTTCTTTCTTCATCTGTGTAGTGCGCATATCGCGTCTACAGCACATACAAGGTTGCCTGGCTTAGACCAGTGTCACGTTCAATAGGCGATGCACGCTCATTGTTTATTCGTAGGCAACCTACCTCTTGCTCTTCATCTCGTGTCTACAGTACGTATATTGTTTATTCGTAGGCAACCTACCTCTTGCTCTTCATCTCCTGTCTACAGTACGTATATTGTTTATTCGTAGGCAACCTACCTTGTGCTCTTCATCTGTGTCAACCTGTGGACCGTCTCGATACACGACGGCGACTTCCGCGTGCCGAAGGTGCTGCAGTCGGTCGTCAACGGCTCCGCGCATCACCTCGACCACCACGTCTATTACAACTACAACTACGGTCAGTACCTGACGCTGTGGGACCGCATCGGCGGATCGTTTCGCAACCCGTCGTCGTACGAAGGAAAAGGTCCCAAGGAGGACGTTCATAGACTTCTCGTCGGCAAGGCAGCGAAGGCGGAATAGTTCGGCGAGGGAGTGTATGCCGTGCAGCATATTTTTAAGCATTTCAAATGTATTGCGGGAAAAGCTGGGCTTTCTATAGGGTGAGATTGATTGTCGCTGTTGCCAAATGCTTTGGTTGTTTGTGTTTTAATAATGCTGAAGAGAAATCGACGTTGGTAGCATAGCATGAACAAAGTGGTGGCATATTTCTCTCCATAGCAATGCGTATAGTTTGTTCAGATAATAAATGGTGAAATTCTGGTCAGTGTCCATTTGAGGTAACCTAGAAGTGTGTTACGGAAGAGATTAGTAAACACCTGTAATTATGGGTGTGTCGTGTAATTATAGATGCCCAATGCCTTTAATCAGTATTACTTCCAATTAAGACACGTTAAGATTGTTTTATACAGCATTGGTTTATGAAAACTTGGAAGATTTTATACCATGGAAATGAAAAGCCTCTTAATATAAGCATAATACGCAGAATGTTAAGGTGAGAAATGTTGGAAACCTTTTTAAATGAAATTTTCTGTACTGTTGTACGGTACAATTATTTTCCCATGCAAGGTTCTGAATCAGTATTTATTAGCTCATCTGACATAGTCTGATGCAGCTTGTAGAATCGCATGATCGTCCGTCCGTGCGTCCGTGCGTCAACAGTTGGGCACTAACCTTAACCG